ACTTTTAGACCACTCGTACTCATAATTCATACTCGTACTTTCCACGCACACAGACCCACTCATACCCAGACTCCCTCATACTCAGACCCACCCATGTTAGACCTCGCTCATGTTCAGATCGCTCACAGTGAGACCCGCGTACGCTCAGCCCTGTCATGTCGCTCACACCCAGACTCCTGCAAACTCAGACCCATCGCGACGTCGCGGGCATCGCGCTCGGGCCTCCAAAGGTGGAGCCGACTGGGGGTGTTACAAGGCCCCGGTTGCGTCCAGATTGGTGGGACCTCCTCCTCCGCCTCCTCCTCATCCTCCTCCTTCTCTTCCTCCTCCCCCTCCCCCTCCTCCTCCTCCTCCTCCTCCTCCTCCTCCTCCTCCTCCTCCTCTCCTCCTCTCCTCCTCTCCTCCTCCTCCTCCTCCTCCTCCTCCTCCTCCTCCTCCTCCTCCTCCTCCTCCTCCTCCTCCTCCTCCTCCTCCTCCTCCTCCTCCTCCTCCTCCTGTGTGTGACTGTTGCTTTCAGGGCCCCTGATCACTTCGATGTAACAGGCACAGCAGTTTGGCCTCCCAAGGGAGGGCCGCCAGGGGCATCAAGCGGCCCCGTTCGCGTCCAGGTCGGCGGGGCCCCTCAGGCAGAATGGCTTCTTGTGGCGGGAGAGGTGTCTCCTTGAGCACCTCCAAGTTTACTGCGAGGTAGAAGGCGTACCACCCCGGCCTCCGCAGGGGCAGTCGCCAGGGTGTATTTCACGGGCCCGCTCGCGCCCAGATTGGTGGCCCCTCTCGTGCAGAAGGGCCCCTTTCGGAGGTGGGCGTGCTTCCCGTCAGAGCCCCACGATCAGAGCGACGTGGCCTCGCAGGGGGGGAGTCGCCAAGGGGTAGGCAGCACGGGCCCGTTCGCGCCCAGCTCACCGGGGCCTCCGGGTGGCACGGCAGGAGACCCAAAGGGGCCCCGGAAGGACCCATGCAGCCGCGAGAAGCCCAAGCAGGCCTGGGCAAGCTCGAGGCAGCCCCAGGAGGCTCCTGAAGTCCCCAGAAGATGTCCGGAGGCCCTGCGAGGCCGCATGGGGCCCCAGCAGGCGCCAGGAGGCCCCAGGCTGTTTCCGGAACGCACCAGGACAGTCCAGGTCCGCCCTGAAGGCCCATGCGGCATCCCCGAGGAGGCCCGCGCGCAGGAGCCCCCCAGAAGGTTCCGGAGGCCTCTGGAGGCCCCAGAACGTCTTGAAGGCCCTAGGAGGCGCAAGGAGGCTTCGGGATGCCGACCGAGGAGGCCCCTAGGAGCCCCCAGGAGGCTCCCCCCCCCCCCCCAGGGGGAACCCCTCCGTGTCCCCCCCGTCCACAGTCGGGACCATTCGCCTGGATTTCTGGGGTGCGGCACTCTGACCCGGGACCCTCCCTGCCCTGCCGCCCCCCCCCCCGTAACCCCCCTTTAACTCCCCCCGTCATGGGAATGGGACAGGGGAAGTGAATCGACTCAACTGCGACGTTTCTTGTTTCTGTTCGTTCCTGAATTTTCATGGGACTGGCGACTACGACGACGACGACGACGACGACGACGACGACGACGACGACGACTCACACGCGCCGAAGGGTCGGCAGATTCAGACCCACTCACGCTTAGACTCAGTCATACACACATACCCACTTGTGTTCACACACACACTTGACACGTAGGCGCTCAGACCCAGACGCACTCACATTCATATTCGCTTGCATTCAGATTCACTCGTACCCAGCTGCTCATACTAAGACTCGCACGTCATAAGACGCACTCAGTCTAGATTCGCTCATACTCAGAGGCGCTCAGATCCAGTCGCCCGTACTCATACTTGCTCCCACCCAGACTCCATTCATACTCAGCCATTCATACTCAGCCACTCATACCCAGGTTCGCTCATACCTAGACGCACGAACATTTGATACTCAGACATGAAATCACCAGGAAAGTATCCCGGCAAAGCAACCCAACAGCGATGTGTAGGAGCATATTTGGAAGCATTCCCCTTAAGATTCAGATGAGAATCCAGTTGTAGAATCCTGCTGTTCTCGCAGTCGTAGTCGCATTCGCGATGACAGTCGCAGTGGCAACGGCAGTCGCAGTCACAGCCTCAGCCTCAGCCTGCCTCAGCCTCAGCCTCAGCCTGCCTCAGCCTCAGCCTGCCTCAGCCTCAGCCTCAGCCTGCTTCAGCCTCAGCATCAGTCTGCCTTCAGCCTCGGCCTCAGCCTCAGCCTGCCTCAGCCTCAGCCTGCATCAGCCTCAGCCTCAGCCTCAGCCTGCCTCAGCTCAGCCTGCCTCAGCCTCAGCCTCAGCCTGCCTCAGCCTCAGCCTCAGCCTGCTTCAGCCTCAGCCTCAGTCTGCCTTCAGTCTCGGCCTCAGCCTCAGCCTGCCTCAGCCTCAGCCTGCATCAGCCTCAGCCTCAGCCTCAGCCTGCCTCAGCCTCAGCCTGCCTCAGCCTCAGCCTCAGCCTGCCTCAGCCTCAGCCTCAGCCTGCTTCAGCCTCAGCCTCAGTCTGCCTTCAGCCTCGGCCTCAGCCTCAGCCTGCCTCAGCCTCAGCCTGCATCAGCCTCAGCCTCAGCCTCAGCCTGCCTCAGCATCAGCCTGCCTTCAGCCTCAGCCTCAGCCTCAGCCTCAGCCTCAGCCTGCTTCAGCCTCAGCCTCAGTCTGCCTTCAGCCTCGGCCTCAGCCTCAGCCTGCCTCAGCCTCAGCCTGGCCTCAGCCTCAGCCTCAGCCTCAGCCTGCCTCAGCCTCAGCCTCAGCCTCAGCCATCAGCCTCAGCCTCAGCCTCAGCCTCAGCCTGCCTCAGCCTCAGCCTCAGCCTGCTTCAGCCTCAGCCTCAGTCTGCCTTCAGCCTCGGCCTCAGCCTCAGCCTGCCTCAGCCTCAGCCTGCATCAGCCTCAGCCTCAGCCTCAGCCTGCCTCAGCATCAGCCTGCCTCAGCCTCAGCCTCAGCCTGCCTCTCAGCCTCAGCCTGCTTCAGCCTCAGCCTCAGTCTGCCTTCAGCCTCGGCCTCAGCCTCAGCCTGCCTCAGCCTCAGCCTGCATCAGCCTCAGCCTCAGCCTCAGCCTGCCTCAGCATCAGCCTGCCTCAGCCTCAGCCTCAGCCTGCCTCAGCCTCAGCCTCAGCCTGCTTTCAGCCTCAGCCTCAGTCTGCCTTCAGCCTCGGCCTCAGCCTCAGCCTGCCTCAGCCTCAGCCTGCATCAGCCTCAGCCTCAGCCTCAGCCTGCCTCAGCATCAGCCTGCTCAGCCTCAGCCTCAGCCTCAGCCTCAACCTCAGCCTGCTTCAGCCTCAGCCTCAGTCTGCCTTCAGCCTCGGCCTCAGCCTCAGCCTGCCTCAGCCTCAGCCTGCCTCAGCCTCAGTTCACTCAGCCTGCCTCAGCATTCAAAATGTGGCCCGGGAATGGAGTTCTGGGAACTCGAAGAACACGAAGTGGCCTACAGTTGGCTCCGGGCATTCAAAATCATGCCCAGGAATGGAGTTCTGGGAACTCGAAGACCACGAAGTGGCCTACAGTTGGCTCCGGGCATTCAAAATCATGCCCAGGAATGGAGTTCTGGGACCTCGAAGACCACGAAGTGTGTAACAGTTTGCTTATTATCCCGGCAAAACAACCTAACAGCGATGTGTAGGAGCATATTTGGAAGCATTCCCCTTACGATTCAGATGAGAATCCAGTTGAAGAATTCTGCTGTTCTCGCAGTCGTAGTCGCATTCGCGATGACAGTCGCAGTGGCAACGGCAGTCGCAGTCACAGCTTCAGCCTCAGCCTGCCTCAGCCTCAGCCTCAGCCTGCCTCAGCCTCAGCCTGCCTCAGCCTCAGCCTCAGCCTGCTTCAGCCTCAGCCTCAGTCTTGCCTTCAGCCTCGGCCTCAGCCTCAGCCTGCCTCAGCCTCAGCCTGCATCAGCCTCAGCCTCAGCCTCAGCCTGCCTCAGCATCAGCCTGCCTCAGCCTCAGCCTCAGCCTGCCTCAGCCTCAGCCTCAGCCTGCTTCAGCCTCAGCCTCAGTCTGCCTTCAGCCTCGGCCTCAGCCTCAGCCTGCCTCAGCCTCAGCCTGCCTCAGCCTCAGCCTCAGCCTGCCTCAGCATTCAAAATGTGGCCCGGGAATGGAGTTCTGGGAACTCGAAGAACACGAAGTGGCCTACAGTTGGCTCCGGGCATTCAAAATCATGCCCAGGAATGGAGTTCTGGGAACTCGAAGACCACGAAGTGGCCTACAGTTGGCTCCGGGCATTCAAAATGTGCCCGGGAATGGAGTTCTGGGAACTCGAAGAGCACGAAGTGGCCTACAGTTGGCTCCGGGCATTCAAAATGTGGCCCGGGAATGGAGTTCTGGGAACTCGAAGAGCACGAAGTGGCCTACAGTTGGCTCCGGGCATTCAGAATGTGGCCCGGGAATGGAGTTCTGGGACCTCGAAGACCACGAAGTGTGTAACTGTTTGCTTAAAACGACTTCCGCGGATTCTCCCCGGTACCCGTGCGGCATTTGCCCAGACCCCCCTGGGGAGTCAAGATGCTTTCTCTTGAGCTTACTAGAAACCTATCAGTCTTCGCTGTTAGGTAAAAACGACTTCCGCGGGTTCTCCCCGGCACCCGCCCAGACCCCCCTGGGGAGTCAAGATGCTCTCTTTTGACACTACTAGAAACGTATCAGTCTTCGCTGTTAGGTAATAAGTGCACACACGGGGATCCCCGCGTCGAACCATCTGGTGGTGGATTCTTGGATACCTTCCTTCTCCCTGTCATCGGGACTCTGGCAACCTCGCCGACCAGAAGTCCGCCGACGGCGTGCTCTTCAGTCTGTCGAAGAACAGCAAGAGCTGCGCGGGCGATGGCATCCCCCTCACCTTCTTAGAGTACGATATCGAGTCGGTGGGGGACGTCGAGGTTCGACCAGTGGACGCCTTCAACGTCCTCTCCGATCTGGCCGCTTGGCCGCAGTGGGAAACGTTCACCGATAAGGCCACATTCTTGGGGGACTTCGAGCAGCGGCAGGCCCGCGGTTTCGCCACCGTCATGAACGCGAAACCAGTTAGCAATCGTGAGCTCTACGAGTGGCTGATGGTAGATGCGAACTTCACGACGGAGGAGTTCTGGGTGGTGTTCACCAGCCTGGACACCACCGCCCTGCAGCAGCGGAAGCCAGCCGACCAGGGCACCGTGTCGATGCAGAATTGCATGGGCGCGACGCACATCACGAAGACCCCGACGGGCTTGCACATCGTGTCCTCGAATCAGCCGAATGCTCACTCGTTCCCCCTCGATCCTCGGACGGTCGCCAACATCGGCTGGAAAGACACGGTGGACTTCGCCGTGAACCTCCGGAAGCGGACGTTGGAGCACGCCAGGCTCCACTGGAACGCGACCAGGACAGGGCTCAATTCGATTCCTCCGACCCGATGTGATTCGATTCCGATCGATTCCGATTTCGATTTGATCCGACTTCAGATTCCGATGTGTGTGCTGGTTTCTCAGTGGAGGCCTTACCAGCCTGCCGATTCCCGCCGATTCGATTTCTCCCGACTGGGCTGCCGACTTCCGCCGATCCGACTCATTTCGATCGCCGATCCGACTTATCGCTGGGGCCGTTTCGGGGCGTCTTGGGGGCCTCTTTTGGGCCTCTTGGCCTCGCCGATCCGACCCATCGATTCGATCCTGGGCTCCCCTGCCAGGACCGTGGTGCCCAAGTGGATGCTCGAGGCGCGGCCGTGCGGGGCGCCGGCACCGGACACGGAGCTCAAGACGGAGTTCGGGCGCTGCGTTACGGGGGGAGGTGGGGGGTGCACATGGGGGGGGGGGGGGGCGAAGAGAGGGGCACCTCTTGTGCCCTGAAAGGGGCCCGAAAGGGGCGACTGCTCTTTGGGAGTCGATAGCAACCGTCGTCGTCGTCTTCTTCCTTGCCTCCTCCCCTGCCTCCTCCCTCTCCTGGCAGCAGAGGGGAGGGCAGCAGCAGAACAGGGAGTGCGCGGACGATGAGAATCGACGCTCCCGCGTTTTATCATCATCTATTTCGCTTTGTTTGCTTCGTTTCGGCATCCGTATCATCATTAACTTCGTCGAAGTTAGCATCGCCAACACGATGCCTTAGAGCATTTCACTTGTTACCACCTTGCAAAAAAAAAGCGCGGGAACGTCGAGAATAACAGTCGGCCCAGAAGGGGACCGAAAGGTGAGTCTTCGCCTCCCCCATTCCCAGACCCCCCGCGTCTTTTTGATTTTTCCCTCGCGTGGAACCCCAGCGGTCTGGACACATTTCTTGGGAGCGGTTTTTCATCCCGAGCCGTTTTTTGACGGTCCCGAGGGCCAGTGAAGGCTCCCAGAGGCCGAAAATAGTGAAAAACTTCCCGTCCTCATTGTTTCACGACGCGAGCATGTCTGGGCTTGTCACCCCCCCATGGATCAGCGCCCGAGGAGTACCTGGCCCACGCCGCCCGGGTCCTGAGCGCCCCGGAGTCCGAGAGGGGCGCTTCCAGGGGCAAGGACAGAAAGGGATGGGCATGTGCGGAGTCACTATCGGGGGCCCATTGCCGATCTGTCAGCGATGCATCGCTGAGTTTAGGTCGATGAGTCCCCCCTACAGTCGAAACCGATGGCAAGGATGGGTAATCTTCCCAAGGATACCCCTGCATCCGTGCCTCTTCGGTCCACCTTTCACCACTTGCGATGGACCGCCGTGCTCGAAAAAACTTTGCGAGCGTCCACGGGGCTTGCATCCTCATCGCGCATCCTTGCTATCAGTTGTGACTGTACAGCCAAGGCGCTGAAATAAGGAACAGTTTGGGTTCGGAAGGGGCTCGATGTCCCTCAGGTTCCTCCAGTGCTGTTCCTCTTGCCCTCCTGGGGCACGGAGGCGCTTACAGGACCAAGAAGGGGCTTCGTTCCTTATTTAGCGTTCCTTCTTTCAGCAGCCCGACTGCATCGTGCATCCTCATTCTCAGTTGTGACTGCATGCTGGCCTCCCCCCCCGATCGTTGCCCCTCAGGCACCCCGAGCTCCCTGCCCCTCGAGGGCGGGGGCACGCTGAGGCTCTGGGAGGGCTGGGGCCCCTGCTCCATCCGCGGCGGCTCGGCCGACACGGTGCCCGTGTGGCAGGCGTCGTTCGCCGTTCCAGAGGTCAGTATCGTTCAAGCGATCCCCAGCCCCAGACCCCTCGAGCCATGAACAAAAATCACGACGAAAGGTTTTGAGCCCGGAACCGTCAAAAACGACTCAGGATGAAAAGCCGGTCCCGGGGAATGGGTCGAGACCTCGAGGGGCCCACGTTCTGAAAAACATCATGGCGTCGGGGGTCTGGGTCCCCATCCCAATCCCCACCATCCCACCACCACAGTTGGGGACATGCCCCTCGAAACCCGAAGGGAGTAGCCTACATCCCCATCTGGGGGTGGATAAATTGGCCAGTGGGGCCCAGACCACGGCAGGGGGGAAAGGGATCGGTTAAGCGATGCTCAAGAGGTGATGCCGGCGGACGTGTTCAACGTGCTCGTCAACAAGTCCAACGAGCCAGCGTGGAACG